ATGAAAAAGTAGTTAGATTACATTACGAAACCCACCGTCTAGCACGCTTCTTCTGTCTGACCTTACATAGCCAATCATTCTCCTCAAATTAAACACACCCATACAAAGAAAACAGATCAGTGATACATAATTCATTCTCATCAAGCCTTTTGTTTATATTCTGATGTTGGGGAGCGAAGGTGAGGGCAGATGGAGCGTGTTTTTAAAACCCTGAAAGGAGCCACTCAATCTTTCATGATCTTTTGATGTGTTTGCACGGTGTGTTCATATCAGCTTAGCACTAAAAATAAAGCCAATGAATGACTATGCAGTCCTGAGAGGCAGGAGAAAACAAGCGTGTCTTTCACAACACCTCAAAGGGAAGCTTTGCTTTGGTCCATTAATTGGAATTATTTGTATTATGTTTCAACACTGATTATGCTGGAAAGCCTCGCTTCAAACACTCACAATTAACATGGTCAAGAGCTCACAGGATGGTAGAAAGTGCTCGAGCAATCAACATAAAAGCAGCGTGTTTGTTAGATCTTCACTTGGAAAGAATTAAAGAGGAGTATGAGTTAAGATTCTGGTTTATGTAATCGAGAGCTTCAAAGCAGAAATAAAATGACCCATACTGTATGTCTTTGCATGTCAGTCATAAATGGCAGAAATGAACAGTGAGGGCAAGATTCACTACTGCTATTGAAATTTAGTAAATTTTGGTCATTCCAAGTTTCAGAAAAAAGAACTGTCAAGTGTTGCTGCATGTGGATGTGAATTCCCCACCTGATCTGCTCGTTCATAACATCTAGTTTCGAAACACCAAGATGGCAAGAGTTCAAAAGCACCATGCTTTACAATGAGACCAATTGGAGCCTTACAGACACGCTATATCCAACTTTTATCTATATTCTGTACTGTTAATAATCACAACCACTAGATTATCAACATGAACAAATCGTGTTTTTAAGGACACATTATGACTAGACGATAACCTTTATTGTAACCCCTTAAGGTACAAAGTAGGATTTGATCTTATCCATGTAACTTCAGGGTTAACTCCTATTTTGAAGTCTGGAAAATAACCTCCTCCAGAGCAGGGTATGTCCCAACACAAACATGTATTATTTGTAGAGGATACATTTTCCCTGCTGTTTTGTGAATGCCTTTTCAGGTTCAGGTGAGGTCTGTGTGACAATCATTTATATTCAGCTAATAAGTAATTCATCACGTTTTATAACTTGTGTCTGGTTTGCCTACAAGGCAATACACAATACACACCCCTCGTCCAAAGGCAGCCTGTCACAACGCGCTCCATCCGGAGATGGACCCCAGAAAAGGAGGATGCTCTGAGGGACTGTTATGACACCACAGACTGGGATGTGCTCCTGAGCCCACATGGTGAGGACATAGAGGGGGCGACACACTGTCTTACAGACTACCTCAACTTTTGTGTGGACACAGTCGCCCCTGCTAAGACGGTACGGTGTTATCCTAATAACAAACCGTGGGTAACACAGGAAGTCAAAGCTGTCCTCAACATGAAGAAGAAGGCTTTCAGGAGCAAAGTGAAGGAGGAGATGAAAGCAGCACAGCGGGAGGTGAAACGCTGCCTGAGGGAAGCAAAGGACACCTACAGGAGGAAGGTGGAGCAGAAGTTGGAGAGGAACAATATGAGGGAGGTCTGGAATGGTGTGAAAACCATCACAGGCCACAACACCAAGAAAAGCACAGTGGGGGGGACTGTGGAGAAGGCAAACGAACTCAACAACTTCTTCAACAGGTTTGACCAGCCCACAACCCCCCCCACCCTCACCCTCACCTTCACTACAGAGTCCTCTCCCCACTCTCCTGCCTCCCTCGCTTCCCCCCCTTCCTGACACCATGACACCCCCCTCCTCCAATCCCTCTCTCAGCAGCAAGACATCTCCCCCCATCTCCCAGTGTCACAGTGGATCAGGTCAGGAGGCAACTGAGGAAGCTTCGCCCCAGAAAGGCAGCAGGCCCAGACAAGGTGTGTCCTAGGATGCTTAAGGCGTGTGCTGCTGAACTTGGGGAGCCGCTACAACGAGTCTTCAACCTCAGTCTGCGACTGGGGAGAGTGCCCGCCCCCTGGAAGACATCCTGCATCGTCCCGGTCCCCAAAAAGAACCGGCCCAATGAGCTGAATGACTTCCGACCGGTGGCACTGACGTCACATCTTATGAAGACTCTAGAGCGGCTCTTCCTCAACCTCCTCCGACCACAGGTACAACATGCCCAGGACCCACTACAGTTTGCATACAAGGCGGGTGTCGGAGTGGAGGATGCCATCCTGTACCTCCTACACAGAGCCCACTCACACCTGGATGGGGGAAAAGGCACGGTCAGGATCCTGTTTCTTGACTTTTCCAGTGCCTTTAATACCATCCGGCCCTGTATGCTTCAGGAAAAACTGAACAGGATGGAGGTGGACCCCTGCCTGGTGGCTTGGATCTCCGACTACCTCACCGACAGACCACAGTACGTCAGGCTGAAGGACATCACGTCTGACACAGTGGTCAGCAGCACAGGAGCACCACAGGGAACTGTGCTGTCCCCTCTTCTCTTCACCCTGTACACCTCTGACTTCTGCTACAACTCTGAATTATGCCACATTCAGAAGTTTGCAGACGACACAGCCATCATGGGGTGTATCTGGGATGATCAGGAAGAGGAGTACAGAAGTCTGGTGAGGAACTTTGTCGCATGGAGTCACACAAACCACCTGCAACTCAACACCTCAAAGACTAAGGAACTGGTTGTGGACTTCGGGAGGTCCAGAGAAGGTCCACTGCCGGTTCAGATAGAGGGGGAGGAGGTGGAGGTGGTCAACAAGTACAAGTACCTCGGGCTGTGGGTGGACAATAAACTGGACTGGTCATGCAACACAGAGCACCTGTATAAAAAAGCCCAAAGCCGACTGTACTTCCTCAGGAGGCTGAGGTCTTTTAACATCTGCAGGAAGCTCCTGAGGATGTTTTACCAGTCGGTGGTTGCTGGAGTACTTTTCTATGCTGTGGTGTGCTGGGGGAGCAGCACAGCAAAGAGGGACTCATCCAGGCTGGAGAAACTGATCAGGAAGGCTAGCTCTGTGGTCGGCATGAAGCTGGACACTCTGGTGACAGTGGCAGAGAAAAGGACATTAAAGAAACTGATGGACATTATGGACAATGCCAGGCATCCTCTGCACACGGCCATAAACAATCAGAAGAGTCTGTTCAGTGACAGGTTGCTTCTCCCCAAGACAAGAACTAACAGACTTAAAAACTCCTTTGTCCCACACGCCATCAAACTGTTTAACTCCTCTCTGGAGGGGAGAGGGAGGGGAAACAGGAGGACAAAGGAGGGGGGAACAACTAAGCTGTAGTGCCTCTTCACCTCACTGTACAATACCTTGTGCAATACTTTTTGTAAATAGTCAACAGTGCAATAGACTCAATACTTGAAATGTGCAATTCACTTGTATTTTTATTTTTTATTCCTATTTATTCTATTTATCCCCTTTGTATATTTTATTTATATTTGTCTCTGTATTTATATGTGTGTGTGTGTGTGTGTGTGTGTGTGTGTGTGTGTGTGTGTGTGTGTGTATATATATATATATATAACAATTCTGTAACTGTAACTTCGGTCGTTGCTGTGCTTTTTTTGGAAGTCGAATTTCCCAGAGGAACCCACCCGAGGGATTAATAAAGTTCTATCTTATCTTATCTTATCTCTTATCTTAAGGCCTTCAAACTTAGAACCCTTTTGCCTCGACTTCACTGCTCCTGTACTTGCTGCACTCTGACAGTGTAATCTGCAAAGGAACATTAATGGGGGAAAACCATTCAGGCTTTGCAACAGCCAGGGGAAACTTGGACAGTGACTTCATTCCACTTTTCAAGGCTAGACGGATACTGTTTTACATCATATTCCCATTAAAGGCTCCCCTCTGGTTCCTGTTCCAGCTGACTCATCGGTGTTGCATTTATCAGTCTATCCTCGTACCAGGCTCCTCTGTTCAACAAATAAACTACAGGCTGTTCTCAGCATGTGACAGTGGCCATCAGAAGACATTTATCAGAAAGTTAGTCCAAGAATACACCGCACATCACAGATGCATAGCAACACAGGGCATTAGAGGAAGAGTTTGTTTCTTTTTTTCTATTGTTTTTCTTTGCCTATAAAGTATTAAAAAGTCTATCTTCAACAACAGGGAAAACAAAGATGCACAAGGATACATGCAAAAAACACACAGTCACACAGAATTGCTTATATATCTCTATGTGAAACTAAGAACAGCCTTTCTGTTTCCATGGAAATTAAGTGGGTAAGTAGCAGCCAGGTCCTTCTAATCAAATGCACTTGATGAATTGAACGTGAGCAAGTGTGAGCACCTCTGTGAAAGCAGTTTTGTTTTGACGGTTTGGTTTGGACTATTCAGCTGTGTGTTGACACACATTCATCCCAGGAGTGGATGTCCCAGCAAACTGACCTCAGATCAGCTTCTAGAGTAATGTTTTGTAAGTTATAGGACTGTTGTTGGCAGTGGTGTCAGAGTATGGTGACTTCCAACTCTAGAGGGTGGGAACTCTTGTGAATTTTGTTATTCTACAATCTATCGATACAGGGCGTGTTTAGCTTTTCACAGGACTAAACAACTACAAATACCAGTCCAGGACTGAATCAGGCAATAATTGGGATGTCACAGCACCTTGAGCTTTATTAGAATTCTGTACTTAAGACGGCTAAAATCAAATGTGGGCTTTTTCTTCTAAACTGAGCTGATTTTAGGTCCATTCATTGAGTTCTAGCTCATGTGCACCCTCTGCTGCATCCCCATCAGAACTGCAGCCAACCTCTTCACACTTTTCATTAAAGGAAAGTGAAACAGCTCTGCTAGATCAGCCTCATCATCCTTCCTTATAGAGTATGACAGAATCTCCCTTCAATAAAGGCATTGCTTCATGTACATACACGGAGAGGCGGAGCAAATGAGAGGGACCACAAGACACAAGTAAAGTTTATTTTCCATGTTTATTTAAGTAGTTCAAATGAAAATGGTTCCATTTGTTTCCCATACTGGAAGGATCAATCAGAAACTTCTGAAAGCAGATGAATATTTGTACTTTCAAATCTAGAAAGCTATACTGCTAAACAAGAAATAAAAGTTTTATTTTTCATCAAAAAAGGCAGAAAATATATTTTTTAAAGGATAAGAAACCAAAAGAGTTGGTAGTGTAGCTGCCTAAAAGTTTTTGAGACCACACACAAAACCAGAACAGATTAAACTGAAAAGATTATGGACCCTGTCAAACCCCATAAAAGGTGCCAGATTTAAAAAATAAAATGAGAAAAGCTTGACTATTTACATACACACATTCAGCTCAGAGTAACTGCACAAAATAACAACAAAATAGGAATTTTTTGTTTTGTAAAATCACCTGACAATCCAGAAGCTTAAAAAAAGTCTTGTTGCTAGAAAAAGGGGATATGTTTGAAGTTTTCGGTATACGATAAAAAGAACTTTTTCATGAAAATAAATATCTTAGACTCATACTGACTCGTAAGCGTGCCTATAAATTGTTAACATGAAACCAACTCTCAAAATCAAACCTAAAATCATGTTTCCACGGCTATTTTTGATCCTCGTTGTGTATGAAGTTATGTCACTATTGAAAGCCTAATAGAGAGCAGAGCTTTCTCATTTCCTACTGGAACGACAAAGGCAGAGTAGACAAGAGGAAAATATATCAACAGGCCTGATTTGGTCTGCGCCGTCGGTTACAAACAAATCACAAACACCAGAGTCGAGTGGGAGGAGAGGGCCCTTTTAGTCAAGACCAATAACAGTACAAGTTGAACTAATAATCATGTGAACACTGCTGGGTCAAATCAAAGTGTCCATGGCAAGTCGGGAACATCCACTGCCCTGAAAAAACATCTAGATCTGAATGTCTGCAGCACCTCAGAGGAGAAGAGTTGATGCCACAAAAACTTCCATATTTTTTTTAAATTTTTATTTTTTTAATTCACATCTGTCCTGCTTCCTGTCCAGACAGTGAGCAATAGTAATCCCACAGTCTGCGGTCCTAATGCTGGGCTTCCCTGATCCGCTGCTCAGCTCGTATCCACGTCAGATTTGGGAGGAAGTTCCAGGGTCTCAGCAACCTCTCCTAAATCATCCAACAGCTCTGTGAATGCTGGCCGTCGGAAGGACTCCACCTTAGATTGGGAGAGAGGAAATTAAGAAAAACAGGTGAGTTTCACAACTTATAAGAAAACCTTGGTGGAAAGTACAGAGGCCCTAATATTCACAGCTTAGTATTAAGAACTGTCATGTCTGACACTTGGAGGCTTTTTGCTGATGTGATTGTTGTAGCGATCACAAGGTTTCCTAAAAGAAGAGACTGGAGGGCAAACTCGAGCAGAGCAAAATAAGTGGACTGAAGAAATCACTGGTTACAGACAGCCAGGGTGCAGCCTGGAGGTAGCAAATGAGCTGAAAGTTTCTTTAACATGTCGAGTTTCAGCCCTCTGCTGCCTCTAGCACCACACACCACAGCCTCAGTACAAAAAGGATGACTTTTTGGAGTGGTCAGGGAGGAATCGCCGGCTTCAAAAGAAAGAGGATGGCTGAATGAGTGGTGTCTGTGCTGGGGCAGGAAGTTGATGTGGTGGAGGAGTATGAGCACCTGGCTGTCCACACTGACAACAAATTGATCAACAGGAATAATCTCATTCCCAAACCAGTGAGAGTTGTAAAAGCCTGCTAACAAAATCAAGCTTGCCAGCGAAATGATAGAGAGCACAGCAACCTGGCTCCTGAGACAAAAGCATAAGACAGAATAGCTGGAACTAAGCTTGCTGGCAGCAGCTGAACTCCCGAAGTGTGGAGGATCACGCAGCCTGCCAAAGTACATTCTACCTGCTGGAAACTCAGTCCCCACTAGAAACAGCAGAAAACTGAAGTGCCGCAAAATGCTCCAAACTTGTGGAATAAATGGAAATATAGCACACAGGGAAACAACAGGAAGAGAAAATCCACAATTTTTCATCAGCTCCTCAATTTGAATTTATTTTGAGTCAAAATAAAGCAAAGTCTCCCTAAGCAAGACGTCCTTTTATGACTTGAAAAACATACGAAATATTTCAAAGTATAAATGTATATCATGACTTTTACTTCAAGCATTTTCAGGTCTTCCATCTCCTCTGATCCACATACCATACAACAGCTGGCTGCCAACTCCAGGAGGCGCTGTGGGCAGTCTGTCACCAGTTCCCTGAAAGCTTTCACATCCAGCCCGTAGTCCTGAAACACATCAACATCAACAGTCCATGTGTCATAACAAGAAATATTTCACTGCGCATACAAAAATGTTCTGTCAGCTAAGTTGTGCTAAAATTACATCAGTTTGTATCTTTCACAGCTTGGCTTGAGTTAATCACAAACCCCAAGCACTACACTGCTCAGCCAATCATCAGCTTTAAAAGACGTCACTGTCACAACCACACTTCCAGTCACATATCTATAAAGTCGGTAAGCCCACGAGTCAACGCGTCATGGACCATGTTTGAGCTAACTTAAACGCATCGATTTAATTTAACACACTCTTTTTAAATACATTAGCTCCATGGTTAGCAGTGAGCAGATAGCCACACATCCACTCCATCAACATTTTAAATTGGAGACATTCCATTCTTCTACTTTTTCAGCAAGTCTCAGGGTTGTTTAGACATCTTTTTAACTAGTTAACTAGTAAAAGTGGGCAATAGCTAACTCTCACATGTGAATATTCACGTTACACGTCAGCAGCACACAGTCTTTGCTGTGGTACAGTGAGCTCTACCTGTGTTCTCGGGAGTATTTCAGGGTCAGCAGGGATCCTGGCCAGGATTTCACAGAGCACAATGCCAAAGGAGAAAACATCCACCTGGAATAAGTCAGACATCAAACATATTGGGGTTTTTTTTGTCTTCCTCTTAGAACATAAAAAACATATCAGAAAATACTTCAAAGAATAAAATAAATAAATCTGACTTTTGCCATTTTACATTAAAGATGCAGCTTCCCACAATGTGCTGCATTACTTTATTGTATCATCTTAATAAATACACTGTCTGACATATAAGAAAAAATGTAATGCTAAAAAACAGCAAAAATACTTATTGTGTGTAACACATGCTGATACGAGAAACAGGACTGTTACCTTGCGGTCATATGGCTCTCCTCGGAGCATTTCGGGGGCCATCCAGAAAGCCGAGCCCACCAGAGAGAGTTTCCTGCCGGTGTCTTTCACTGGCAGCTCCACCACCTCCCTGGCCAGGCCGAAGTCTGTCACCAGAGCCTCTCGTCCCCGAGACGTCACCCGGATCAGGCAGTTCTACAGATACACGAGGAGGACACTGAGGAGCAGGACTGCAATGGGATGTTTGTCCCAGCAGAGGGCAGTGTAAGGCTGAACAACCAGGACCATCAACCACTTGTTTTTTCCACCGTCTTTAGTCTTTGTTTGGGCTTCTATTGTGTGTAATGCATGTGTTTCCTGGAATCACTGCCACACAGTCACAAACAGTCTCTTCACTTGTCAATAGATTCAAAAGGATCTGCTGGCAGCACCTTTTCAGCCGACTAAATAACTGACCGACCAGAGATTCAGTGTGCCAAAGGCCAGCCTCCATCACACTGACTGGTTCCTTCATATTTAGATGTTAATAAGACCAGCAAACTGTGGAAAAAGACAAACCCTGCTAGACTTGAGTTTAGAGGCTGAGAGCAGAAAGTGTGATCAGAGGCAGGAAGTGGGAGAGCAGCTCAGAGCTGTTGTTGCATAATAACAGCAGGTCTGCAATGTAAAGGTATAACGTTGATGCATTGCTCTGCATGTATGTAAACCCATTTTCTTCTGTTTTTAAGATTCGCTGGGCGTGTGTGGAAGTGACAGTTGCCATTTGGCTCCCACTGCACATGAAGCTATTTCCATCCAGCAGCCTGTCATTACGTGACATTACGTGGAGGAAAACTACTTCAGTCCCAGACTCCAGCTCTAAATTTAGCCACAACCCCTTACCTCTCTGCCAAGCAAGGCAACAATTTGGGGAACTTAAGTCGAAAATCCCCAGTAACACAAGAACCTGACCAACTACTCAAAAAGCTAAAATTTTCATTCAAGTGTAACTTTCACAGACACTTTAACAAAGACTGGATTAGTTCAGGGGATCTGGGAGGCAACTGGCCTTTTGGACATCCTGAAGCACTGACATCACAAACTGCACACATCTACCAACCTAAGTGGATTTGTCAAGTTGGCAACTTAATTTCAATAAATGCTTCTTTCACCACAGACCAGGCGGCCTAAGTTGAGATAAAGCTGAACGACATGTGTTTTATATCATAAATATTTGTGGATATTTTTTAATTTGGAAGTTGTCAACAAATCATAAGGAAAAATGACTCAGACACAGAGATAAACTGAACTTCCTGGTCTGTAAAGTGTACACAAAACTGCCATGAACTTGCAGTCTTTCTAGTGGCCAGCACAGAGTTCTCATGTGAAGTATAACCTTACTAAACACTTTTCTTATTTTAATGCTAGCAGCTCAGAGCTCACACATACAGTTCTCTGATTTAATCTCAGACTTAAATAATTATATTTATTTATTAATATGTTAGTAATGAAATTACTTGTTAATTAGATTAATAATTACAAGTAACTATTAGCTAAGTCATCTGACGTGACTTCGGGGCCTTTCTTACTTTAAATTCACACTTGAACTGAATGTTGGTATTGGCAGTGGAATTAAGTACCCAACAACTGTATCACCACTGGCTTGAAATAGAACAAAATGACTGTCGGTGCGTCTCAATATATTAGCATTTTCACGTAAATCACACCTATCTGGTCATTTCATTCATGGGGCAAAAAGCAGGAAGCCTACAAAATACAAAACCAATTCTGAAAATGTCTGGACGCTGCATGAAGTGTAAAAAAGAGAATGCAATGATTTGGAAATCTCATAAACCCATATTTTACTCATAACTGAAGATGAAAAGCATAAAATATTTAAAATTTTAGAAAAACATCTGCTCATTTTCAATTTCATGACAGCAACATGTCTAAAAAGAAGTTGCCACGTGGCTGTGTTTACTTCTGTGTAGCTGTTTTTCTTTTAACACCAATCTGTAAATGTCTGGGATTTGTAGAGACCAGCTGATGGACTTATGGGAGAGGAATGATGTCCAATTCGTGTCTGACAGAGGATGCTCAACAGTCTTGCATTGTTTTTGTCATATTTTGATGTTTTGTGATGGTGAAAGGTCTGGACTGCAGTGGGGTCAGCTCAGCTTTTTTTGAGATGTCCTGCTGCCAGTGAATTCAAAATGAATATTTTCCTGAAATGGTACATTTTCTCATTGCATTCTGTGTTTATTTACATTCAACACAGGGTCTAAATATCTCAGATCATTTCAATACTAAGGATTCACTTAAGGGTAACTGCTAAAGTCATCTTAATGTCTTCTAACTTAAATCTCCAAAGCCATTACAAACTAAATGCAACATAAAGCTCATCTCACTCAGTATAAAATACATAAAAGCAGACTCACAAACATCATATTAGACACTGCACAGAAATCCTCGAGTGACCCTAAGGTTGACCTTAAGTGGACTCATTTGTGACCCTGTGATATTTTATACAGCAATACTTTTTTAAATGACTTATTTGAGTATAATATGTTGTTTATACTGTTTAATCATCTATGACAGATAATCTGCTCTAATATCATTCATCTGAAATGCTTATTAAAAAAAGAGGCTAGCCATTTTCATCATCACTTTTGACATTAAACATCTGTTTCAAGATTTCTGCTACTCTATTGGTCTGTTAGCAGTGGTTGCCTAGCCTGTAATTCTCCCACGTTGATCCAACATCATGGATGCATCCATCAGGTTTCTGTGACGTAAATCCAACAAAGCCTGACAAAAAACACGAGGACAGAGCCAAAAGAGTAGCCTCAGGGTAACATGCGTGGGGTAAGGGTGGGGGAGTCCCAGCAGCAGTTATACGTGCAGCAACAGCACTTACATAGCAACAACCTCTTTACACGATAATAGTGACTGTCATCATGTTGTGACTCCGCATTACTGACTGCTTCTTCAGGGAAGCCTGGCAACTGGAGGAGGGACAGCACCTACGCACACAAGCATACCTACACACCAGCTTCTCAGCAAGGCCTCGTGATTGTTACAGAGCGGCCTAGAAAGGATGTCAGGGTGTGCTCATTTAACTGAAACTAGGAGATCACAGGTTTCTATTCTGGACTGAAAATTATTTAACCTGAGCAGTTTATTAATAAAAAAAAAAGTGCAGTTAAAATATGAACAAAAACAAACAAATCAATCCAAATCAAAGCAAATCAGTTTAATTGTGTGCCTCACCTTAGAATTGAGGTCTCTGTGATAAATGTTTTTGTAATGCAGGTAGATCATTCCTCTGCTTATATCACAGGCCAAGTCCACCTTCTCTCTCCAGCACAAGGGAACGTCTTTCCTGGCCAGAAGCTCTTCCAGACAGCCACCGTTTACATACTGAAACATCCAGGAAATACATGAAGATTTATTTTTCACTTTTTTCTATTAAAAGGTTTTTCTTGTAACAAGAAACTGTCTTCAAAAAATAAAATCATTTTCACATTATTGTAAAATAAATTAGACAAATTAGTTTATTCCAATGGCTGTGTCTGGATCGGCTTACTTCCCACCCCTTACCCACCCCTGTTACTTGTCACGTGTTTCATGATGTTGTGATGTGGACATTTATGTGCTCTTTTTTTTGTTTTCTGTTCTCATGCATGAGAAGAGGTCTCTTTTTTTCCCCTCCTCGTCTTGCCCATTGTATTGTACATTTCAGTGTTTTTCCATAATACTACCGGTCTCCGACCTGTCTCCCCATGTGATGTCTGTGTTGTGTATGTAAGGTTGGGGGGGGGGGGGGTCCCATTTCGCTGCAGGGCAACTTGCATGTGACAAATAAAGGCTTTCTTGACTTGACTTGACTTGACAATGTAAAAGGAGAGCTTTCTTGTTATGCAGCACATTTTTAATTTACTTTTTTTCTATTTAATCATTTTTTATTTTAATAAAAATTTTAACAATAAATTTAAAAGTTCTGTAAAATAAGAAGAAAGAGAGAAAGCAAATTTGGACGTGCTAAAAAGTTAAAATGGTCAGATTGATGGCAAAAATAAAGTTTGATACAAAAATTAGCTTTGGTCTTTATCAATTTATATGAATGTAATTAAATATAAAATTCAATGAGTATAACAACGTAAATTATATCAAGACCTAAAATTATATTTATTTACGGCATGGTCGCTTTGAGGTGTTGTTTTTGTTGTTGTTCAGTTATCCTCAAAGACACGAACACTGAAGCCACTACTTCTATTTTGTAAGCTAAATTATTTTTAAGCCTATTTTTGTTGTTTGCTAGTCAAAATTTACATCACCTATAATATTACAGGGAATAGCAGATCAACTTGCTAACTAAGCTATCTAGCAAGTGATGGCATTACAGCCCTTACCAAAATATCCAATTATTCAAATATTATTTAAAAAATAAACACGATGGAAGGCTCGAGGCAGTTGTCACTAAAGCTACGTGTAGAACAGTGGCGAAGTCCAACTTTTCTAAACAGTCAAGAAGACTTGTTATAAAAACATGCTATCATACATTGTTGCCCACATAGATACTGTGTCTTCAAGCATTTAAAATAATTCTTAGATTACTGTGGCAGTACATGGCTTTTGTTGCTTTCACCGCCCTGTTATCTGTGTAGAACAATGGCATACTATAAAATGTCGTAGTAAAAAAAAATCCCATAAAAATAAATGGCTATTCATTCTAAAATGAAAAGATTTTTTTTAATCAATAATCAATAATCAATTTCTTCTTGAAACAAGAAACTGAGGAGATGTAATTTGTCAGCGTGATAGCAGCAAACCCAGTTTGGTTACCTATGAACTCTTTCACCATTTCATTATCACTCTCAGTTCATATCAGTGTTATTTGTTGTGTTAACAGAGCCAGCCTGCAGGTATACACCTTAACAATGACTCACAATAGGCGAAAAATGAGTGAAACTCACCTCTAAGATTGGATAGAGTTTGTCTTCTTTCACACATATTCCCAAATACCTGGAATAAGCAGAGCTGTGTTAATCAATTGTTTGTCTTGTTATTGAAATAAAGTGTATGGAAGTTTATGGAAATGCCACTCAAACCAGAGGGAACAATGTCTACATTACAAGAAGATTTTTGGTGGTAAATTTTTAGAATCCTGTTTGTAGCCGAAACTGTTAACAAATTTGATGAAAATACAAAAAAACATGGTATCAATAGGAAAATAAAGAATGCCATATCCTTTCCTTTATGGATTTGATAGTGTATATAGTAAGGTAGAGTAGATAATCTCATTTGCAACAATACTGATACCAACAGTGCCACCTTCACACAACTTCAAACAGCAGAGCTACAGACAGACATGCACACAGCCTCTCCCCTCGTCAGTAGCATGTAGTTGTTGTTTACACCAATGTACACTTCAATTAATTTCACAAGGTCAGTAAAGCCCCTGTATCGACAACATTGAAGTATTAAACAGTCATAAATGTTCATCTGGAGGCACAAATGTTAACTGTTTAACTATGAGCCATTAAGCCATGTAAGAAGTATATTACCAGCTATGGCTAATAATAAAATTATAACATTAGGAGGAACTAGGCAGCTTGTACATGATCAGTCCTGCCCATCTGTAAAGTGACCTTAAATGAACTTAACTGAACTTACATAATAAATTTAGGAACAATTAAAATAAGGCCCTGTTTATTAATTGATTCACACAAACGGTCGACGTCTTTGATAACTCCAAGAAATATCACTCGTATATCTTTTTGACTTTAGCTTACACAGATCGGTGCGTGCAAGGTACTGCTGTCATCACAGCTGGCTGTACGATAATGAGCTACTCTTTGATAACCTTACCACTTTGACCTTGCTAAATGGCTAAAGTGCGATTGCTTAGGCAAACATTAAGTCTGCCTGGCTTTGCACCTTATGCCACTGCTGCAAATAAAAGCACCAGGGTCTCATTTACATACATAAGGCTACACACCATGCTACCAAACTACCAACTTCCAAGTGAAGTAGTTTATATTCAGAAACAAAGCTAGTTAAATGACTACAAGCGATTTTTCTCTCTTCCTCTTGTTAGTTCAGATCACATGTACCAATTATATTTAGTTCTGCTACTATGCTCACAATCCCTGCTCTGTGTATCTTTCAACGGCCATGCACCAGCATCATTTTTTATACTACCATAAGCAAAAGAAAAACAGCAGATTTCTTATCAAAGTTTGCCAGCTAGAATTGCCTGGTTGTTTTTGGCCACTCGGAAATATAATCACTGTTAAAGCTGTGAACAAATCCAGGACATCTTCCAGCTCATCTAATGTTAATTTGGCAATCTGCAGCCCAAGGGAGCCCATCAAACCTACCTCACTTTTGCAAAATGGATACTTGTGTTTGTTTATTTTGAAATCCCAAGGGGGAAAAAAGCATTACATTAATACTTAACTGGTACCATATGAAGGTTATTATATAACAGTGATGAGTGGGTGTGCATTTTGACAAATATTCCTGATGAGAAAACAGATATTCGGATTTTGTGCATATATGGAAGTGTTGTATATTTGCCTGCCTTTGTTTATTGTACACGATGCCCTGGGAGTCCATTTTTTCAGTAATTGTCAACAAAATTACCATAACACTGTGAACCCTTTAAAACTGTTTAGTACTACTAAATATAAATATGTGTAAAGGTATTGCCATTGCACAATAACTACAACTGCCATCAATCCTGCTACCCAATTTACAGACTGTGAAGCTGTGATGGAGAAAAGAGTGATGAGTGGGAGGGTGTAGAGCCTGGTGAGACAGAGAGGAGAGATTGCATGTGTTGGGAGGGAAATCCTCAAGCGTTTTCTTTTGCTTTTAGCAGAGCAGAGCAGAGCCTGCTAGATTAACCACCACAATAGGAGTACAGCATGCAGGTGATACGGGAGGGCTGTTACCTGACAATGTTGGGGTGGGAGAGCTTCTGCAGTAGGCTGATCTCTCGTACAATGCTGTCTTGGTCCACATCGTTTTTGTAGATCTTCACTACCATCACTTTTCGATTGGTCCTGTGCATCACCTAAAGGATAGTGGTGGCCGTTAGCAGGAGTGGAAGAAGTAGTGGTTATAGATGCTGAGGCCAGAAGCGATACAGTGGGGATACTGTGACAGCTGCTGTCGCTGCATAACTTATCCACAGCTGCCAACATGTTCACATCAGCAAAAAGGATAATACATAAAACCAAACACATCAGTAGATAATGACAGTAGCACAACTAAATCAAAGTGAGTAAACCAAGGCTACGTTCACACTGCAGGTCTTAAAGCTCAATTCCGATTTTTTGATCAAATCTGATTTTTTTTGTCTGCTTGTTCACACTACAAATAAAATGTGACAGCAAACGCGCTCTAGTGTGAACCCTCAAAGCGCCACGCATGCGCAAAAGAAGACGTCACACACAACGCACTCTGTTTAGACCCAGACCAAACAGTATTGTTTGACTGATGGCCTTAATATAAAGACTTGTTTTGGACTTTACGTTTCCCAATTTTGCTTTAAGTTATAAAGTTATTTTGTTATTTTCATATGGCCTGTTTTAGAGAGGAGCGGCGCTTCAAAGGATAGTTGCAGATTTCTGTCAGAATCTGCAGATTATACAGTACAAATAAAATGTTCACGTTTCTCCAACGTTGTCTTCCCAACAGTTTCACTGGATGGCCAGGAAGCGTTCACGATGTCTTCTCGGGCGCTTCTCCGGCGCTGATAATTGGCGTCTGTCTTGTGTCAGTGACGTAAAAGACGGATTTAATGCGACATAACCATTCAAACAGCAGTCGCTTTCTAAAACATCAGATATGTATCGGATTCAGTACCACATACAAAAGTGACCCAGGTCGGATTTGAAAATATCGGATTTGTGCTGTCCACACTGTCATACCATGATCGGATATGGGTCGCATAGTCAAAAAAGTCGGATTTGATGCGCTTTCGCCTGCAGTGTGAACGTAGCCTGAGTAATCCCAGCAGCTGAAAAGAATCAGGCAAATATAGAAGTGCAAAAAACTGCAGTTCCTCTAATGGCCAGTGAGGATTGCTCCAAAAGAGAGTTAATCCCCATAGACTGTCATGTTAAAATACCCAATTTTCTAATATTAAAACACTTGCTCACTGTTTGGTACAAAAAAGGCATCTATGGATAGTTTATCAATCACAACTGTACTGTGATTGACTTTTTTAATCTTTATTTGTTTTTATATTAGCAAAACTTACGCACGTTTTATACTTTCAATTTTTTTCTAAGAGGTAATAGTCTTACTCCATCATTGGCATCTCCAAAGCCACAGAGAGCTATTTGAACGATTTACACGGTTGACCACAAACAAGCTTAGCTTTCTAAGTTGACTCAACTGGAACAAAAGTCCAAAATCAGAGAGCACACTCTTTCTGGGCAAAGTGCTGACTTTGACTCACTCACAAATCCCATGGCCTCTTTCTAACTCATTTCATCAGGGGCAAAGTCTAAATGTATAAAAAATATAGCTCTTCCAATAGCTCTGTTCCAGCAGAATAATTATGTAAGGTCTCAGCTGGGGTTGAGTACAGAAAATCAAAGGTCCCCGAAGCTGGTGGGCCAATTACAGAATGGCAAGAATGTCCCAATTAGTGGCTTGGACAAAGCAGGGTCTGATGGCATTTGCAGGCTGACAAGGCAAAACAGAAAGGGTGGAGGGGGCAGAAGAAATACCTTATAGACTTTGGAGAAGAAGCCACTCCCGATTAGCTCAGCGCTGAAATTTTCCCAGAATTCCAGTTTACGGACAGCCGTGCGAAGCTTCTGCCATCGCTCCACATGGTAGTATTTGTCTGAAGACTCACCATAAAGGGTGGGACTGGTGGGCTCTGATGACACATCCACATCACACATCGTGGAGATGTCCGCTGGGAAAACAGAGACTGAAAAGTTAGGGTGAACCCTCTACAAAATAATGTTTTTTGTCCTGGGATTAGTTATTATAGTTATTAGTTCATTTTCACAACAAACAGGACAAGAAAAGAATCACTTTGTGCCTCTGCAATGTTAAATAAAAAACTCTGGGAATGTAGACAGTCTTGCTAAATGTATTTTTGAAATTAGGCTCATCACCAATGAGACTTAGACTTGAAAGGGCCAATCAGCTAACACTGCTTCTTTCCATCTAGTGTCTTTCTAGGCGACGTCAGGGCAAGTTAAAGCAGGCTTGTACAAAACCTCCACCATCTTCGACTACATGTTGAAATTACCTTTAGGGCACAAAATCTTAGAAAGCCACTCCACTGAGTTGGTGGAGGGCTGATGTTGCTATGATGCTCTCCAAAGCTGCAGAGCAGGGACTAAACCTCCCAGCTGTAGACCATGATGGCGGAGCTGGAGTTCATCATCAGGATGACAAACTCACTAAAGAGGCAGGTGGTTATGGCTCCATTATTCAGTTGTTGCAAAGTATATAAATGCCATTGACATGCTCACAACATGCCCTTAAAGCATCTGTGATAATTATGTTCACACTGTGATAAACATATTCCAACTCTGTTTCAGTTTAAGCGTTATTTTCAATAAACAGCATGCTCTAAAAAAAGTTTTGTCTAACTCCCATTTCTTCTTCTTGCATGTTGAAGTTCTACTTGGAACCTTGTTAAGATTCAACCATGCAAAATATGATTCTTTGCCATTTTTTCAGTGCTCTTAAAATTAGAGCGCATATGTATTTGCTCACTGCTGCTAAACTGAACACACCAACCAAAAGGGCAATTTATGCATTTAACAGCATGAAAGCAACTACAGATCAACGAGACGCTCACAAAAGGTATCATTTCACACTTACACTAGGCTGCATAGATGAGGGAAAATGCTTCCACTTAACAGGCTGCAGCAAAGGTGATAAAAAAAGATTTTTAAAATGATTAAAATGAGGGCAGGGCTGCTTGCTGAACACAGAATCTTTCTAAAAATTGTTTAGTAACAGTTTCTATCTTCAACACAACACAGTCAAGAGTCAATCTGGACTATCAGTGAATTACTAATAAATGAGACAGTTATATATGTCCTGCATCTGGAGCTAAGACAGTAACAAGAACTTCAAGTCCGGTTATCAGAAGGACAAAGACGAGGAGATTTCTGTTCAACTGTCTTGAAAGTCTGCTTTACGTGAGTTGGAAGAACGTGTTTATCGTTAGGGCATTGTAGTGTAGTGTCAACATGCCTAAGTCCACAAAAAGACTGGCAGGCAGCAGACGTCCACACAGACCCTTACACCATATGATGATGAAGTGATCAGTGTCTTAGAGTTTGCATTCGTGTTCAACTGTGAACTCAGGGCAAGACAACAAAAAAGCCACACACATACACATACGTACACACACACAGTATACTAATAACTGTATACTGCAAAGTTTCATCATGTCCAAAGTGCTTATCTATTATTTCTAGCTATCCACCCCAACATAGCGGGGGCTATGAATCAGCTCTGAGGTTGTCTACTAGAAACTCCCCACTTAGTGTCTAAGGCTCCAGAGAAGTTATTAAGAGGCAAATTATGCACTGTGGGTTTTGTTGTTTTGTGGGACTTCTGAGTCAACCCACACCCTTTGACCTCCATTCCTCAACCCCCAGCCCAAGTTTCATATTGAAAATCAGCACATAGGGACTATTGAAAGTTTGTCCTGTGCTCTATCCCTGACTATCTTCCTGGTCATTAACTTGAAGACCTTTTTGTTTAGACACTCGCATCATTGGTTTTAACTGTTTTACCTTTCGGTTCACTTACTGTGGGCTAACTAAACCTCCATTAACATTGTTCTCATAAAACTGTAGTTAACGTAATGGTTTTAGACCTATGTAAAAAGATATCCAGTCATGTCAACTTTCTGACTTTACAGTTCTTTCTTTGAGATCCTATGAGGTCTAATTCATCATAGGTGCTAACCCTGACCCTACACTAGGCTTACCATGGCAAGAACTTAGGCCTGTTGAGCAACCAGCCATAGTGCCAAAACTATTAAGCATGGTTTCCTTATTCTCTTCATTCAGTTCTCCAAAATATTGGTTGTAACTCTGGAGTGCAGATGGGTAGGATAACGTTCCCACTGTGAAGATTGCTCTCTGTTCCTTCACAAAGTGGGTAGTCCTGACCCAATTCCAGGCACACAGGGCTGGCGTGACAGCAGTGAAGGTCAGTTTGTTTTTCCCCCAACAACAATCTCAGTTGCCTTTACAATGACGCTGGTGGAAAGCGCGCGCTGACACGCTAAAACAATTGGCAGGGTTTTGTCAATAAAGTCGGGGGAATCAACCCCAGCTATTCACGCTGCTTTTGTTCATTCAGCTTCAGACTAAACAATCACTGCACTTTCAGCTCTGGCACTATCAGAGAGAAATGCTTACAGTGCAGCCCCATCATCTAACTGTCAATCTCTCCGCATCTCTTTTCTCCCGCCTCCATCCATCATCTCTCTTCCTTATTCATCTTGACTGGTCGGTTCCCAAATTTGTAAGATGAAGGACGTCGTGCTCTCGAACCTGTCAGCAAGCTTTTAGACTCCATTGTTGTCACATTATGATGAAGTGTAACTAAATGAAACTAGATGAAATTATTTCTGGCACTGTTGGGGGAAACTTGCAAATTTTACTGAATAACATTGGCGAGAACTTCATGTTTCTTTGATCCACTGTCTGTCCCCAACTATCTCAGCCTAAACTTTCAAATGGTCTGTTTTACCATCAAAATGAATCTGATAAGAAACTATAACTATAAAAGCTGCTGGAGTAATTCCCTGAATAAAATGGACTGTGTGAAAAATTAAAAAAATTGAACAGAAGTCCACTTTTGCGCTGTTCCATATTCAGTGAGAGCCACTTTCATTAATTTAGTGGAAGTGTTGTCATGTGCGCTCTGCTAACAGTACACTCAGTGAAGCAACATGGCTACGTTTACAGCTGAAGGTAAACACATTGCATGATTTATGTCTCAGTTTCAGATTCTTGTGCGTTTCCACATTCTGTTTCTGTCTGCTTTTCTCATCCTCCCTCTCATTTTCCACTCCGCTGTCTCCAAAGTCATCATTTCAGGAAAAGGTGGACATTCCAAGTGTTGCATCATAAGCTGGTTCTGAACTTTTTTAAGCCTTCACTTTAGGTTTACCACTTGTCGTTGTCTTCTACCAGCCACAACATCCACATTTAGATGGCAGAATAAGAATGTGCTACCATACTGCATATTAACTCTTCAACACTGCTATAAAGATTTAAACAGTCTTTCATCAAGCAAAGAATAATTTGGCTGCTCTGGTTACTCCAAGTGATCCATGACAGGTTTAAGAGCTCAAGCTTTGTCTTTTTTCTGTTTTTCCCCAAACATAAGATGAGAAGGTTAGGCAAACAAAATGCCGGAATATGTTGTTATCACAACCCGCTGTGAGTTAGACCTGTCTGACCATACACCCCCTCAACAGGAATAGTAATGCTGGCCATGACCACAATGACGTCCTTCCAGCTGATAAGGAATGACGTTCAAGAAAGTTGCAAAATAAATACCACTTTGCACCAGGGCAACATTTTTCTTCAGTGCTCTGCCTCTCAACATGAGGATTCTCACAGAAGAATGTCAGAAGGAACATACTGGGAAAAGTGCAAATGCTGGAATTTCACGTCATTAGGTGACATCAATGCAGTGTCTCCCTAGATTCAGGTATCACCACTTGAAGCCAATTTAATAAGAATTACACAAGGGTCTTGGCTGGTATCTTCTCTAAATTAAACCAAACACCAGGTAATGAGCTTGATGACACATTAACTTCCCAAAAGACAAGACTGACAAGTGTAGTCACAAGCACAACACTACGATGTCAGCATGTATCCCTACAGTTATTTACACTTTCAAATCCAAGAAATTGAAACAGATAGCAGATGAGGTTCCACTGACCCTCTTTAGAAGGGTTATTTCAGCCTCTGATCTCAGGTCTGTTGATCTCTTTTCAATTGAAGTGTATCCCGTGATGAAAATATATAAAAAGCTTTCTGTGACCTTCAGATAAAAGCTTGTGGATATCTGATTCTAGCAAGGGATGTAACCCTTTGAGAACCAAGTCATCATCACAGAATCATCAGCTTTGAAGAAAAGCAGAACCTTTTCTGGAAACAATGTAAAAAATTTTTTTACTGTGTGTCAATTACAACGATTATTTCTTTGTCCAATGATTTTGGAAATCATACAAAAATATATAAAAATAAAAGTTCCTAACCCCATGCTACAAGACTGCAATTGATTTTTCAAAATGTATAAACCGTTACAGTCACCACTGAGGTTGACTTAGACCTCTGAGGATTGAAAACATCTCCATAAAATTTGAAATGAATAATTCTGCTGTAATCACCATCATTTGCTGAAGATTTCCAGTGACTGCCAATGTGTCCAGGACTGAGGATGTTTCAACAGAATAATGACCCTAAGTAGCAAATTAATAAGGAAGAGCCCAACCAGACAAAATGATGGGTTATGGAATAACCTAGCAAAAATCCCACATATGAATCTGAAAAGCTACATGAGCAATACACACATGAAACTCAGAAACATTGTGCAACTGAAGAAATTATGCATGGAGAAGCTGTCAGTAATGTAAGCAAGCTGACAATTATGCAAAGAGCAATATAAGAGGTCATTTCTGCAGAGTCTGCAAAGAGACTAGGTTAGCTTTATTTACATTTGCCACAGGCAGTTGTACATCTGGTTATATATTTCTGTTCATTTACAAATTCAAAATTTTTCTAAATACCTCCACAATTCTGAGTTGTGGAGGTATTTAGAATGCTTAGCATTAGCTGAATCTAATGCTAAGCTGACAAAATTCTGTAGAAAGAAAGATCTTTCAAATACAAAGATTCAGCTTTGGACTGCACTAAAATC